TTGTCTGCCAACTCTATATATGGTATTGTGAACACTGCCCACTGCATAGATATACTTAATCATTCAACCTGTCCACCCCTCTACCAATATATGTATCAAGGTTTGCCATCACTGAAAACACAATTCTGTACATACAAAAGGGTTCATTTTTGTTGTCTGTACCTCCTATGCACCTCTCTATGTCTTCCTCTTCCTCAATGCCACTGTGTTGATCACTCACATTTTGTACATTGTCCTTCCCTTCACCCAAATCAATACTTGTCTCTACCTATCTAGCAGGGTTCCCTCCCCTCTCCTCCTATGCCTGGTAAAGAAGAAAATTTCCTTCCATATAAAAACCTTTGTTGACTTTTTACAGTAATGAACTTATACAATATTTTTCCTTCTGTGATGGACTTACTTCCCTCAGCATAATGTCCTCCAAGTTCATCCAAGCTGTGTGGTGTTTTACAGATTCTATGTTATTCTTTATGGTCACATAGTATTTCACTGTGTGTATGTACCATAGTTTCCCTATCCATTCTTCAGTTGATGGGCATCTAGGTTGTTTCCATCTTTTTGCTATTGTAAATAGTGGTGCGATGAACATGGGAGTGCATGTATCTATTCTTGTCCTGTTGTTGTTGTTTGTGTTGTTATGTGCTGTCAAGTTGGGACCGACTCATAGCCACCCCTCCTTGGGTTTCCAAGGCAGTATCACTACAGAAGTAGATTGCCCCATCTTCCTTCCGAGGAGTGGCTGGTGGGTTTGAACCTCCAGCCTTCTGGTTAGCAGTCAAGTGCCTTAGGCACTACACTACTAGAGCTCCATGCCCTGGCACTCACTATTTCGTTGGTCTATCTGTCTGTGATTGTACCAATACCAGCTAGTTTCGACTACTGTGGTTGTATAGCAGGTTTTAGATCTGGGAATGTGAGACCTACTTTGTTCTTCTTCAATAGTGCTTTGCTTATCTGAGGTCTCTTTCCTTTCCATATAAAGTTAATGATTGTTTTTTCCACATCCCTAAAGAATGTTGATGGGATCTGGATTGGGATTGCATTGAATGCTTAGATTGCTTTGAGTAGAATTGAACTATTCATAATGTTCAATCTTCCTATCCATGAGCATGGTATGTTCTTCCATTTATTTAGATCTCTTATGGTTTCCTGAAGTAGTGTTTTGTAGTTTTCTTTGTACAGGTCTTTGGTGACCCTGGAAAGATTTTTTCCCAAGTATTTTATTTTCAATTGGTAGTTATTGTTAATGGGATTTATTTCTTTATTTCCTTTTCAGCAATCTCTTTGCTGATGTAGAGCAATCTGACTCATTTTTTTTTTTATGTTGATCTTGTAACCTGCCACTATGCTAACTGTCTCAATTACTTCCAGTAGTGTTTTTTTTTTTTTTTTAACTGAGTCTCTTGGGTTTTCTAGGTATAAGATCATATCATCAGCAAATAGAAGTAGTTTGACTTCTTCCTTACCAATTTGGATGCCTTTGATTTCCTTTTCTTCCTTATTGCCCTGACTAGGACTTCCAATACAATGTTGAATAGAAGTGGTAGAGGGCATCCTCGTCTGGTTCCTCTTCACAAGGTGAATGGTTGCAATCTCTCTCCATTGAGAATAATGTTGGCTGTTATTTTTGCATCTATGCCTTTGGTTATGTTGAGGAATGTCTCTTTTATGACTATTTTGCAGAGAATTTTTATCAGAAAGGGGTGTTGAATTTTATCAAATGCCTTTCTGCATCGATTAACATGATTATTATCATAATCATGTGGTTCTTTTCCTATGTTTTATTTATGTAATGGATAATATTGATTGTTTTTCTAATGTTGATCCATCCTTGCATACCTGATATGAACCTCACTTGGTCATTATGTATTATTTTTTTGATATGTTGTTGGAGTGTATTGGGTAAGATTTTGTTGAAGATTTTTGCATCTGTATTCATGAGGGATATTGGTCTGTAGTTTTCCTTTTGAGTGATATATTTGCCTGATTTTGGTATCAAGGTTATGCTTGTTTCATGAAATGAATTTGGGAGGTTTCCTTCCTTTTCTATGTTTTGGAATAGTTTGAGTAGGATTGGTGTCAGTTCTTCTCTGAACGGTCAGTAGAATTTTCTGGTGAAACCAACTGGGCGAGGACTTTTTTTTCTTGGTAATTTTTTTTTTATGACCTGTTTAGTTTCTTCTTTGTTATGGGCCTCTTCAACTGTTCCATGTCAGTCTGTGTTAGTTTAGGTAAGTAGTGTGTTTCTAGCTATCTGTCCATTTCTTCTAGGTTTTCAGATTTCTTGGAGTACAGTTCTTTATAGTATCTTGATATTATCTTTTTCATTTCAGTTGGTTCTGTTGCAGTGTCCTCCAACTCATTTCTTATTTGTGTTATTTGTATTCTCTCCCTCTTTCCCTTTGTTAAATTTGCCAGTGCTTTGTCAATTTTATTAATCTTTTCAAAAAACCAACTTCTAGTCTTGTTGATTTTTTCTATTGTCTTTCTATTTTCTGTTTCATTGACTTCTACTCAAATCTTTATTATTTCCTTTCTTGTGGTGATGTAGGCTTTTCTTGTTGTTCTTTTTAGAATTGCTAGAGATTTTGGTTTAAGGTGTTGATTTTGGCTCCTTCTTCTTTTTTGATGTGTGCCTTTCTTGCTATAAATTGGCCTCTGACTGATTTGGCTGTGTGCAAAAGATTTTGGTATGTTGTGTTTCCATTCTCATTTGATTCAAGGAATTTTTTAATTTCCTTTTTTATTTCTTCTATTAGCTAGTCGTTCTTAAGAAAGGTGTGTTCAGTTTCCATGTGTTTGCTCTTTTTCTTTTAATCTTCCTATTCCTGATTTCTAATTTTGTAGCATTGTGATTTGTGAATATGCTTTGCAGTATTTCAATGTTTTTAAATTTATTAAGGCTTGCTTTATGACCTAACTTGTGGTGTATAATGTGAACATTTTTGAGTGCTTATGTTATAGTTTAGAGTGGCTACATAGTATTCATCAACAGATATGCTTTTCTTTTCCTTATATTAGACTACAAATAATTTCCAGTTTTCATGAGATATGAAATTCTACAAATCTTTTATGATAACTCAGAGAAAAAGAAACAGGAATGAATGTCTTTCTCTTGATTCTAGAATGATAAACATGACACTGGACTTTAACCACATTTGCAAGTTTATTATAAGCCCCAACATCCAAGCACAATCCTGCCTATCCCGGGGGCCAGTTCTGAGGACCACACATTCTCATCAGTGCCCTACAACCACAGAGTCAGGAGTCATCCTCTGTCCGTAGATGAACTTAATGATGATGGACAGACAATGTCCATCATCAGAGCTGTGTTCACTCTGTAAGCTAGTCCTGAGCACCTCCTGCAGGCAGGAGGAATGAAAGGTGGATGAGGCTTGGCTGCTACCTTGGAATGTTCCCAGGTCCACAGATGGAGAGGAGGAGTGGCCATGGGAGGTGACAGGAAGGGATGGTCATGGGAGGAAAAAGGGTTAGAAATGTCAGGCACAGAGCTGAGTTGGGTGGGGTAATGGGGAGGAAGAATGTCAGTCAAAGCCCAGAGCTGTGTGATCACCTCAGTTGGCCTCAGAAGAGTGCCCAGTCCTGGAAAACAAGATGAGGAGGAGACAAGAGATGGCAGCAGACTCAATGTCTACACACCCTGCTGCCATATGACCCCATGGGTCATTCGGAGGACCTTCTCTTGAGGTGTGAAAGCCAGCCCCAGCTCTAGTCAGAATAGCTCTATAGTCTGGTCCTTCTCCCTACCCTGACTGAGGCTGAAAGTATCCTAGGAGTAGTGTCACCAGGGCTGCCTATGTTATGAAGCCTGCAAGGAGAGTGTGAGTCCTACCTCATCAGAGCACAGTGAGACCCCAGCCCTACAGGCTTCAGCATCACATATGCCCTCAGGGAGTCCGGGGCTGGCTGACTTGCAGACCTGACTAGTGGAAGGTGCTGAGGGCCCTCTGTTTCTGAGCCTCTGCTGAGAATGCTGGCTACAGGAAAGGATGAGGGACCCCACAACTAAGCACTGTGTGCTTATTGGGTTGCAGTTGTAGTGCTGACTGTGGATTGTGGGTCATTTTACACAGGGTGTGAGATATGCACAGCCCCATGCACAGCCAGACCTGAGGTTTGTGCATTTACTTTAACAATTCCAGGAAATGACACAGAAGGCTGGGTTCATGGCCACCACCTCCTGGTGATGTCCTGGCCTATAGGAGATAAGGGGGAACTGAGGGAGGAGACTTCATTCTCAGTGGCACATAAGGACTGTTGCAGGTGTTTTCTGAGGTTTGAGGACATAGGAAGGTGTGAGCATTTGTACATGCCCTTTGTATAAAAATTGAAGTTCCAACATAGCAGAAGCCATTTGCACCTCAAGGCATGCCTACTGTGCTGGGTCTGGATCCCACCTGCACTGATCTCTGCACCCAGGAAGACATGGTCCCCACATACCTTCCCACAACTCACCGGTCAGACACAGGTCTTCCAGGTCCACTGACAATCAACAACATCACCCCCAAAGCAGGTCTGGTACAAGGCCAGGTGAGCATGCTCAGATGGATCTATGACTGTGTCTCCCATTCCCATTCTCAACCAACCAAGAAAATGAGCAAACCCCACAGGAAACCGCAGAGTGCTTCCATTTAAATTGACTGACAGCTTCTGTGCTGGTGTCTTGGAGGTATTTTGACGTACTTGAAGCATTTCTGTTGGTTTCCTCTGGGAACAAACACAGGTCACACAGGAGCCTCAAAGCCAGTAGTGTCAAAACAAGGAACATGTACCATGAAAACAATAGCAGCTGCTGCTGTGACACCAACCAGGAAGGGAAGCTTTGGGGCCTCTGTTGAGACAAAACAACACAGAGGGATATAAAAGACCTGGAGGCTGAAAGCTCCTCACTCACTCACTCACTCACTCACTCACTCACTCATTCACTCACACCCTCCTCCTCCTCTACAACTTCACCTATTCCCACCCCACTCCACACCATGGCTGCTTCCAACATGTCTGTCTGCTCTAATGACCTAAGCTATTGCAGCTGTGTCTGCCTGCCCGGGTCCTGTGAGTCTTGCACTGACTCCTCCTGGGAGGTGGACAACAGCCCAGAGAGCTACTGCGAACCACCCTGCTGTGCCCCCACCTGCTGCCAGTCCACCTGCTGTGCTCCCATATGCTGTGCCCTGGCCTCCTGCCAGACTCTCATCTGCACCCCTGTGAGCTGTGTGTCCAGCCCCTGCTGCCAGGCAACCTGTGGGTCCAGCTCCTGCCAATCCATCTGCACTAGCTCCTGTGAGCCTTCCTGCTGCCAGCAGTCTAGCTGCCAGCCTGCATGCTGCACACTCTCCCCCTGCCAGCAGGCCTGCTGTGTGCCTGTCTGCTGCAAGCCCTTCTGCTGTGAGCCCATCTGCTGCAAGCCTGTCTGCTGTGTGCCTGTCTCTTGCAAGCGCGTCTGTTGTGAGCCTGTTTGCTACAAGCCTGTGTGCTGTGTCCCTGTCTGCTGGGGGGCCAGCCCCTGCCCTGCCCCCTCATGCTGCCAGCCCTCTACCTGTACAACCTCCTGCTGTAAACCCTCCTCCTGTGTGTCCCTCATCTGCCAACCTGTGTGCAAGCCTGCCTGCTGTGTGTCCTCCTCCTCCTGCTGTGCCCCTGCCTCCTCTAGTGTGTCCTTGCTCTGCCGCCCCTTGTGCAAGCCTGCCTGCTGTGGCTCTTCCTTGGGGCAGAATCCCTGCTGCTGAATGGGCACCAACCCTCCGGAGCCACTCTGCCTTTCTCCTGACATCTTTGGAACCAGAGCCCAATCTGAGGTCTCTTCTTGCCCCCAGAATCACTCCACCCTCCAACTGGCTGTGCTGAGTCCTTTGACTCCTGGGTGGAGTCCCTCTGGTTCTGTGATTCATTCAGTGACCTCTTCTCAATCTTGGCTCAGTGTTCCACATGAGTGACCTGTCTGCCACCAAATAAAAGCATTGTCTCTCCCTCTCAGGAGGCCTCCTGTGCATAACTGTAAAAGGCATGGGGTGGGGCATGGATGCAGCATGGAGACTGGGACTGTTTTGGGACCCTGAGCTTCTTACAGGTGGCATAACTATCTGGTAGGGATGACTAGTTCTACCTCATTGGTAGGTCAACTTCTTGGGAATTTCAGGGAAGAAACCTTCACAGTGACAGGGTGGCATAGAGAGAGTGGGGTGGCCCTGACCCCGAGGGGATGGGCTCCGCCTGGGATAGTAGTGGTCCCTAGTCAGACGGGATATTTTTGTCAGTGGCTAGAGCTAGTAGACCTCAGATGGCCCCCAGTCACAACCCAGAAAAACTGCTTGGTGACATAATAATGACAAAACCATAAGTCAGAAGGAACAAATACCTTGCAGTAGAGTGTGTCCCTGGACTCTGGTGCTGCTCAGATCTCCAGGGTGAGAAATCATGGCTCCCCAAGACATGAGGATCACAAACATGGCACCATCCTGGGTCTGGTTCTCAGGACATCCTGTCCCTCCCCTAGGCCTGAAACCAAGCTGTGATTCTGTGTGCATGCCTGCATCTACCAGCCCAGACTTGGGACACCGGATCCACTCTCACTCCTTATCCACCCCACCTCCCTCACCACTTTCTCCTCTCCCTCTGCCCCCTACTCTATTTCCACCCTCCACGCAGCCCAGGCCCCCTCTCTCCTGACTTCTCCCATCCCCATTCTGGCTCCTCTCTCTCAGCCCAGTCCTCTCTGCACATAGCTCTAACTGAGCTTGGCTGGCCTTTCAAAAGTGGTCAATGGATTAAACCCAACAATATATTTTGATGGGGTATGAAGGCATTTTTTGATTGCCCAGGCCCCCTCTCCATCCTTTATCTCCTCAGCAGCCCCTTCCCACCAGGCTGTGGTCTCCCTCCTGTGTCATAGGCTATGTAGCCCTGTAGGCCATGTTGAAGGCCCATCATGGGTTTCAGAGACCTACTGTTTCTGGGAGAGAGAGCCACTCATGAGGCCCCGAGGCAGTTTCAAACCGTATGTATTTTGTTGTGGAAGCTCTGATGGCATAGTACCTAAGGTACTTGACTGCTAACCTGAAGGCTGGTGGTTCAAACCCACCAGCCACTCCTCGGAAAGAAGGTTGAGCAATGTACTTCCCTGATGATACCACCTCTGAAACCGAAGAATGGGTCCCTCTGAGTCAGATCTGACTCGACGGCAGTGAGTTTTTTTTTTTTTATATTTGTTGTGAGCTACCCTGGAGCTGACTCCAGGTGACCTTGTGCACGACAGAGCCAAACATTGCCTAGTCCTTCATCCTGTTCACTATTGTCAGCAGGTTCTCTTTCGTCTGCTTCTGGAATTCTCATGGAATACATGTTAACCTTCACTCTAGCCTATCATGGCTTTGATTTTTTGTCTCTTTGTGTTTCATTTGGCCTAATTTCTTCTGACCTTTCAGTTCACCAATTCTCTCTATTGTTATAGGTAAACACTTAGTTTAATTTCAGTTATTTTTTTTTTTTTTGTCATTTCCAATAGTTCTGTTTGCATCATTTGTTCCAATCAGCTAGGTCACTTTTTAGAGGTTCTTACTCTTTGAATATTTGTTAAAGCCAATCTATGCTTTCTTGAAGTATTTAAGTATAAGTGTTTATACGTGTGTGTGACAGTTCTAGTAAGAGATTTAACCTTCTGCATTTACCTCATAACTGACTACTTTAACCTTAAGTCTGCCATTTTGATTCAAGCATTGTTTTCTGTTTTTCTTGTTTCCACTGGTTTTATACAGTTGCCATATGGACCAAGATAAGGCTTTTTTTCCTTCTAATTTTTCTATTGTGTTAAAGGCGTATGTTCTGCTTTTAGTTATACTCCCTCTTCATTCCTCCATCCCTCCCCCTCACTTCCTTCCTCCTCTCTCTTCCTTCACCTTCCTTCCCTTCATCCTTACTCCCTCCCACTTCCTTCCTTCCTTTTTCCTCCCACATCTCTGTCCTGGATACTGCTTGGACCTACCCTTGGCTATGGCTCAATCTTCCTGTACCAGGTGGCTGGGTAGACATTTGGAGCTTCAACCCCTGGCTAAGACCAGGCTGAAATAATGTTAATAGTGAATATAGCAGTTCTTGGCTGTGACTCTTGGTGGCCTTGTTGAGGGCACAGGCTCTAAGAGAGAGGATCATCTCTGTGACCACTCATAACTGCTCCTGAATATGGTCTCTCAGGTGCCTGCCTGGTCCCAGGGTCACAGCCTGATCTACCTGGCTCACTTCCATGGCACTGACTGGCTTTACCAACAGGGTGTGTCTCTGAGCCTCATCACTCCCTTGCTTCACACCTGCCTCCTCCAACTTAAACCCTCTCCTCATGCTCACATCCTGACTCAGGGTTGCCATGTGCAGGAAAACAGACTGTTGGCTGTAAAAACAGGTTCAAATTTGGGTCTCCCTAATGAATGAGACAATTAGGAAAAGGTGCCCTTATTGGAAAATTATGCCTCCTCATGACAGCAGGGGAGAGGGGTCCTCTCAGGCATCTCCTCTCCTGCTCTCAGTCCTCAGTCTCCTCCCTGGCCTCAGCACCAGATTCGGGTCATGGAACTACAGAGCTGCCAGGAAGGTCCATCTTCAAATGATGTTCTCCTGAAACAAGGCACTCATCCCCAATTCTCTCCCAGTCCCAACACAGGCCAAGCCTGTCCTGAGTGGAGTCCTGCAGGTAGGAACTGGGTGCAACGGGGGAGTCCTCTGGATGATAGCTGGCACCAGGCACCCAATACCTGAGGGCAGAGGCTGTGGAGTCAGCTGTCCAGAGGTGCCCCTCCCTCTCTGTGGTCACTGCTATAGCCATATTCAGGTCAGGGTGGCAGTTCTTCCCCTGCAGATATCTAAGGTTCATGAACTGAGGCAGGGTATCACCCAGCAACAGACCTGGCCTAATAAGTGTCCTGTCTCAAAACACCAATGATAGATACAGCTCCTGGGACCCTGGTTCAGGTAAAATACACCTTGAAAAAAAAATAATACAAATAATACACACCTTGAGATATAAAAAAGCCCGCAAAGTCCAGAGCTCCTCATTCATTCATGCACTCATACACTTCTCTACCACATCACCATGTGCCTTCCACCCTGGCTGCATCCACCATGTTTGTCTGCTCCAGTAACTTGAGCAATAGGAGCTGCATCTGCCTATCTGGTGCCTGTGAATCTTGCACCAGCTCCCCCCTGCAGGTGGATGACTGTCCAGAGAGCTGCTCTGAGACCCTTATGATGTGAACACCCGTATTGTGCCCCCACGTGCTGCCAGTGCTTGTGCTCTACCTCCACCTGCTACACCCCCACATGCTGTGTTCTGGCCACCTCCCTGACCTCATCTGTACCCCCTGTGAGCTCTGTGTGTCCAGCTTCTGCTGCTGGGAGGCCTGTGTGTCCAGCCCTTGCCCATGGGTGTTTACCAGCTCCAGTGCTTCCTCTTGATGCCAGCAGGCTAGCTATTAGCTGCATGTCACACACCCACTTGCTAACTACTGGCCTGTCTGCTGCAAGCCTGTCTGCTGTGTGCCTATCTGTTATGCTTCTAGCCCTCTGCCTATGCCTCCTCCTGCTACAAACTCCCTAGTGTGTGCAAATTGTCCTGCTGTGTGTCCACCTCCTCCTCTAGTGCCCCAAACTTCTCCTGGGTCTTCTTGCTCTGCTGTCCCATGTGCCCCTAACCAGCCTATTATGTCCCCGTCTCAGCCCAGACATCCTACTGCTCACCAGTGTGTCCTCCCAAGGTCAGCTGGGCTGAGACCTATCTAGAAATTTATGGCCTCACATTCCTGTCTTCAATTACTCTCCTACCATTTAGACCAGTCCTTGAGTCTGCCATGTTAGCCTTGTCCCTGAGCTAGAAGATGTGGAATCTGGGAAAATTCACACTATAATTTCAGTGGTCATCTCAGAAACCCAGGCTCTTTCCTTGCTTGTGGCATCCTTTCAGCTCTAATGACCTGTCCCTCCTCTGGATGAATCAATGACCTCACATTTTTGCCTTTTTGACTTTGCAATTCCAAATGTAGCAGTGCAGACCCTGTAGCTTGTGAAGGCTTCAAACTTTGACAATCAGAATATTAACTCTACAGGAGATAAAATGGGAACCCCATCAGGGCCTCTGTACTGCAGTCCTGAGTGGATGGCTTCCTTTCCACATAGGCATGTTCTCATCACCTAACAATTTCCCTGTCACCCACTGCCTATGGCCATTCTCCAGGCTATTCTGCTGGCCCCTCCCCACCAGGCCTCCATGCTCTCAGGCCATGCCCACACAGCCTCCTGGGCATCACACAGAACTCCTCTTCTATCCTCACTAGAAGGAAACACTTCAGGCCTCCAGCTTCTGAGGGCTGGAAAAGTGTGCCTTCCTAATAAAACAAACTAAGAAGTTTAAGAAGAAAGTTTAAGATTGGTGTGATTTCCTTGCTAATTGTTTAGGAGAATTCACTGGTCAAGCTATTGGTGCCTAGAGTTTTCTTTGTAGGAAGGCTTTCATTTATAAATTAGCTTCTTTAGCATGTAAGATAATCAGTTTTTTCACTCCTTTTGTGTCAAATCTGAATCTGGACAAATATATGTATCCATCATTCCAGAAAGTTCCTTCATGCTTCTTTGTACTTAATCCATAATCCATGCCCAGCCCCTGTCTACCACTGATCTCGTTTTTCTCTCTCCATTTTTTTTTAAATCTCTGTAGTTTTGCCATTTTCCAAAATTTCATATGGAT